TGTTTCCCCAGCATTGTAGAGGTTTGTTTGGGCAGTGTCAGCATAGCGGCATTCAAACAAGCACTGCACTGCTCCTAGGATTTATCTTGTACTACTCATGTTCGCGGCCTATTTTACTTGGCCACATGGCCCAATGCGAATTTTTCGGCCAGTTCAATAATCCTGCCAACTCGGTCCCTTAGTCGTTTTGGGAAGACCATTTCTCGGTAAACAAACAGTTTGGACTTTTGGCCAAAGCTCTCAGGAAGTGAGTAACCCACTCCAATCGGGTGTTTTGGTGAATTGGGTTGAGTGAAGTGAGCCAATTTCACAACCGCAGCTAGATTTTGAGCGCCATTCAATAGAATCTCAACGGGGCTCGTACCGCGAAAATCGCTTCTCGGCCTGTTTCCTGCCAGGACGGCCGACGCCGGTACCCCGCGGGTTCAGGCCTCTGTACGCTTTAAGCCGCTTGCTGGGTGGGTTTCCCCGGCACTTTCTGGAGGACGGATGCATGTCCCCTGGTTCCCCCCAGTAGTGCCCCTTTTTAACCCCTTTTTGGGGGGAGGGTTCCCCTACTAAAATAGACTACAGAGAAAAGGGCACCCTTATTCTAACCTCTCTACTGGAGGACCTGGTCCCAGAGCAAATGCTTGGCGGGTCATCGATCAGCCTGGAACCTTTCGGATTGCCAAGTTGCCAGCGTGTGCCATTCCTGTTAAAATTGCACAGTTGCCAACTTGGCGGGCAAAAAGCAGAGCACGTGTCCATTGCGGACTTTCCACGACGTCTATGGCCAACGAGGTCACGTATATTCTGAGCTGCAAGTTGGCTGAAGTGTTCTAAACCATGGATTTGGGTGTGTGTCTTGCGAGGGTCCCGATTTTGGGTGGCTTTGGAGGGGAGCCCAAAAGAAAACCTCTTTTTGTGGGGGGGGGGGAACATACCCAGTTGGATATTTGATTTTTTTCCCAGGGCCATGAACTTTTGGTCTAAGCCGCCTGTTGTGTTTGGCGCTGTTGGGCTTCACGCAAAAGATCCCAAGAGAGGCGAAAGCAGCACACGCATGGCTTGACGCACTGAGTTTCACCAAAGCTCAGGGAAATGGTTGATTTTCCATGAGAGCATTGTTCTGTTGGCTGCTGGGGAACATGCATAGGCCTCCAGGTTTGCAGAACCGAAGATGTCCTAGTAAACGCTCGCGCTGCAGGGGAGGATGATGGCGCCGGCAGGAGGGTCGATGGTGTTGATTGGGGGTGTCTGGGGACTTTGACACAAGCACTGCATTGCCTCTGAAAACTTGTGGGTGCTTAGAACGGATTTGAATGGGACCTGAGGCAGTTGTTCCCCTGTTGTACCTCTTAGCTTCCCTATGGCAGCGTTGTGTGTTCTATTTCCAATTGTTTGCCTCTCTTGGCATGATTCAGCATTGCATTTAGCCAAGGTGGCCACGCTGACACAAGACACCTTTCTTCCGCACACACACACACACATACACATACGCACATATACACATACGCACATATACACATACGCACACACACACAGATACACGCACACACACACACACACATATACACACACGAATACACCACACATACACAAATACACCACACATCCTACATACAAACACACAGATACGCACATATACACACCCACATACACATATACGCACATACAAGCATACACGCATACACACAGGCATATATGCACATGCACACACACATACACACAGATGTACTTCCGCGCACACACACACACACATACACATACGCACACACATATACGCATGCATACACACTTACACTCACACGCATACACACACGAATACACCACACATACACGAATACACCACACATCCTACATCCACACACACACACAGAGATACACACATATACACACCCACATACACGTATACACACATAGAGGCACACACGCATACACACAGAGGCATATATGGACATACACACGTACACACAGATGTACATACGCACATACACACATACACACAGATGCAAAGGCACACAGCACACACACACGCACGCACGCACGCACGCACGCACGCACGCACGCACGCACGCACGCACGCACGCACGCACGCACGCACGCACGCACGCACGCACGCACGCACGCACGCACGCACACACACACACACACACACACACACACACACACACACACACACACACACACACACACACACACACACACACACACACACACACACACACACACACACACACACACACACACACACACACACACACACACACACACACACACACACACACACACACACACACACACACACACACACACACACACACACACACACACACACACACACACACACACACAACACACACACACACACAACACACACACACACATGATTGCACACAATGCGACAGATGTGGAGGAGATGGGACAAACGATGCAGAGAAGCATAGAAGGGAAGTACAACTTTGCTCTGCTGATGCAAGATGTTCACATCAAGCCAGCTATCGGTAATTTGTAAATACACCAGATGCAGAACCAAACCAGACACGCACACGCACACACACACACAACACACACACACAGACACACAGACACAGACATCAGCATAACCAAAAATGCAACGGATGTCCAACCAGAGATGCAGATGCAAATGCAGTCAACACAGTTGCAAAGTTCAAAGAGCAACGCAATTGAGCACAGCCATCAACCTTTCGGAAGTACGATCCTTTGGGTGGAAAACAGATTTGGCCCATGGCAGCAAATTCGTCAGGATGCGGCGGGGCAAGATGGGCGCACGTGCCTGACCCGCTCTGAAAGGAGCGCGCGGATTTCCGAGTCTGCGCTTTGGCGCTTCGGATAGGAGGGGAAGGTTCCTGTGCCTCAGAGCCTCAGTTTCTATGGTTTCATGTCAATAGCGATGGTCATCATGTTTTGGGATAAAGGCTAGCCACCCATGAGTAGTCTTGTAGACGGAAATCAACCGCAAAGCTCGTTTGGAGTAGGGGGGTGTCCCTTATGTTATGTCTTTGCTCATTTGGTTCGCCGTATTTTGGCTCTTCAACCAGGGCTTCAGTGGCCCCAGTTGGGTCCTTTATTGAGGACGACTGCGCATCAGAAACACGAACGAGTCTGTCTGGTTTTGGCGTACCCCCTTTTTTTGGCCTTTAAAGGGAGCAGGAACACCACCAGTTTTGGGTGTCCCCTAAATAAGACACACCCAAGGGGGAAGTCCGAGAAACAAGGGTGATTCTAGTTTACTTCGGAAATGAGAGACATGGTGCACCAGTCAGTGTACCAAGCAACACAATTTCAGCGATGGAGGAGGGTACGGTAGAACAGAGAAAGGCTGGAGTCTCTCCTGCTTCTTTCCTGCAACTTGCAACGATGCTTGTGCAACATGGCTGTGAGAGGTTTTTTTCTACCCAAAGGTTGGTCACTCGCCGCGCGAGTGTTAGCACATTTGGGTGCTAAGCTTGTGAAGGAGCTTTTCGGGGAAGATGGACTCCTGGCAGAGCCCTTTGCACCACTTTGCTCTTTGAGAATGGGGCATAGGGAGCTTGCCTGCCCTCAGCAGTGCGACTGCCAAGAAGCGCGCGTGAAAGGACTCAAGCGGGCAGGTGAGTGGCCACGGAGATGTGAAGCAACCACGGGCCTCTAGATGCTTAGTACGTTGTAAAAGCATGTTGAAACCGGCGGGTCCGGCCCAGCCCGGGTTGCTATGAGCTTGGCGGTCGGAAGGGCATTTTGTTTTTCTGTGAGGTGCTCTGTGAAAGGTGAAGCCTTGAAGTTGCACGCCGTGGGTCACTTCTGTTCGCGGGAAAGTCTCCCAGGAATCCCAAAGGTCTGGGTACCTGGAGGAAAAGGCCGTGTGCCAAGTTGTCAGTTTCACTCGCCAAATGGAACAGCAGGAAAAGAGGCCGGTGGCGCATGGAATGCGCATGCGGCTTGGGGCGCATGGATTCAGCACGTGTCACTTCTGGTCTTGGCCAACGAACAGGACACAGTGCGTGTGGCTATCACGTCGGTGGACAAGACGCCCCATGTATATCATTGAGGTTTGTCACAGGGTCTCCAATCGAACATCATACCTTTTTTGCCAGTTCCCAGCCACAGGGCTTCTTCATCATTTAGCTTCTTTCGAGTTTGAAGGGATTTATGAGGTATTCCTGCTGAATGTTCGACTTTTAGGGCACCCACGAACCACGAGTTGCCAAAACGGTAGCCCTGCGAAGGAGCCTTCCTTCGTCGCTCGGACCCTATTTCAAGAAGCTATTCGAGCAGCCTCCATTTTGAGGGATCTCGAACGCAACACAAGGGGCTGAATAAATTACTAGCAGGCTTTCTCCGTGATCGGGGGGCTTCGGAGGGAGGAAGGGAGGGAGGGGGGAGGGAGGGAGCCCAAGTAAGAGAACAAAATCAGACCATTTCTGCTACGTTGCTAGGTCCGCCAGTAGTGCCCTTGTAACTTTTTTGGGGGAGGGTTCCCCTGCTAAAATAGACAACAGCACAAAGTTGGTACCCTTGTTCTAGCCTCCTAGCTCTCTACTGGAGGACCTAGCCTAGCACGTTTCGGATGGCTAAGTTGCTGGCGTGTACCGTTCCTTTCACCCACAGTTGCCAACTTGCGGGCGGGCAAAAAGCAGAGGCGACGGGCACATGTTCCATGTCGGAGTTTCCACGACTATGGCCAACGAGGTTTTTCGTACATTCTGGTGAGCAATGTGGGCTGCAAGTTGGGTTTTTAGATCTCACTTTGGGTCTTGAAGCAAGCCGGCGTGCACCGTTCCTCTTACCCACAGTTGCCCACTTGCAGGTTGGGTTTTTAGATCGCTTTGGGTCCTGAAGCAACTCTTCCTCCAACTGCCAGGACCCAAAGTGAAATAAAAACCCAAAGTCAAACAAAAGCTCCTCCTCCAACTTTGGGTTTTTATTTCCTTTTTTGGGTTATACAGACCTGTCATGTTTTTTTGCTGTTTGGGGTCGAGGCTGGTGTACTTTCACTTTGGACCGAACTCCGCCAGGCCTCCTCCTGGCTCAGCGCTGCCTTCTCCTTCGCCGGGCGCCCATAGGCTGAGCGGGAGGGAGTCGGCTTGCGATCGGTGGGGGGGGGGGGGGTTTGAAGGCGTGGCTCAAGAGCCCACTTGGCCACTTGCCCCACTTGGCTGTGGCGGTCAAAACCAAGGGTACCATTTTGGGGTAGGTGAATTCACCACCCATTTTAGTCCGTTTTAGTGGGGATTAAGATGTTCACTGGGGGTACGGGGTTTTGACCCATGGCCACTTGCTCAACTAGGTAAGGATCCTTCTGTCAATTGCACTTCAACCCATGCTCTAGCTATGACCATGTGACCGGTTTTTTCCGCCAAGCTCCTTCTCCCAACTTTGGCGCGTGCCAAGAGCTCCAGCATGTTGCTCGCGGGCCTGACTGCATGACTGCATGACAGACGACATGTCAGAGACAGACCTCAGAGTCCTTGTGCATCAGTGTTGTCGGGGCCCCTTTGACCCGGGCCATCCGCGCGACTTCCGAGGCTCGTCTCCAGGACTGTGACATCCACGCAGGGGGGCCTCAGGGAAGCGAAGCGAAACTTGAGCCATGAGGCGACCAAGCTTGCTTGTCCCAGCACGATGGCTTCCATTTGCTTAAGAATATGTTCTTTATTTTCCTTTGTTAGTTTCAAAAGGAATTGATCACCACTGGAAATATATTATTTTTCCAGGGGTCTTAACCAAATGGAAGATGGTCTTCATCTTTGAACAGCGAATTGGGATCCTGCCTGAAACTCGCATGAGACAACGGCCGGAATTGCAACTCAACGTAGCATGAGCATGCTATGCTCACCATTGAACTCTGCCTGTGTGTGTGTGTTGGAAATTGTTGGGCCTGTTCTGCTTGGATGGTGTGGGCTTCAAACACTACAAGGCGTCTATCCCGGGTTTGAACAATGCCATTTAGGCTTTTAAGTCTACTGAGGCATGCAGGTTGCTCGGCACTCCTTGAGAGCGAAGGAGAAAGTGAGACTGGAACAGACTTCAAGATGGGTTTTGTTTGTTTGTTTTGTGTGTGTTTGTTTGTTTGTTTGTTTGTTTGTTTGTTTGTTTGCTTGTTTGTTTGTTTGTTTGTTTGTTTGTTTGTTTGTTTGTTTGTTCGTTCGTTCGTTTGTTTGTTCATTCGCTTGTTTTTTCATTTCTGTGTGTTTGCGTGTCGGTGTGTCTGTGTCTGTGTGTCTGTGTGTCTGCGTGTCTGCGTGTCTGCGTGTCTGTGTGTCTGCGTGTCAGTGTGTCTGTGTGTGCGTTTGTTCGATGCTTTGATTTTTTTGTTTGCTTGTTTGTGCGTGCATACGTCCGTGCCTGCGTGCCTGTGTGCCTGTGTGTGTGTGTGTCTTATGTTGAGCAACAGCCAACAGTTAGCTTTGCAGAATGGAGCCCCCAACCCCACCCACCTTTGGAAGTATTTTGTGGGCCGGGGTGGAATGCCATTCACACTTGCAAGTTGCGTGCCTTTTTGCAATCTGGGGCAACTGCCGTCAATTCAATCACAACTTAGGGCAGTTGCAAGGTTTGGCTAGTCAGCTTCATCATTTCATTTGGGATAACGGGACTTGGACTTTGCAAATGAGACTTGGTGTCACACGTGTCACAGATTTCACAGAATGCGCAGATATGATGTTGATCGCTACTGGCTTTGAGCACCGTGCTGAAGAAGAGAATCAAGGCATCGCGGGTAACTCTGTCCCTGAAACTGCATTTGATTTTTCGTTCTTTTGCCGGCGGTTGCGCCGTGTTTTTTTTGTTCTTTCTCCTGGGATGCCCAGTTTTCGGTTTTCGGGCGGTTCCAAGCGACCATGCCATCTCTATGGTGAGAGCATGCTCCAAGTGAACCACGTGCTCAAAACCCGGGTAGATGAAGTTTAAGGGACAATCCCAACTCTAAATCGCTGCGGATATCCGCCTTCTTAATTCTTGAAGCATGGTTCTGGGGATCGACCGTTTTAATGCCCTAGGTCCCCCAGTGGTGCCCTTTCACCCTTTTCTGGGGGGAGGGTTCCCTACTAAAATACGCTACAGAAAAAAAAACAAAAAAACATCGGGTACCAACTTATTCTAACCTCTCAAATCTGGAGGACCTACCGCGTTTTGATTCGGACTCCAATTGGCAAGTTGGTCACAGGCGTCGATGCTTCGAATCCGAGGCCTGGGTGCCGACTCCCGTGCCACTGTGGAGTGCGTCGTCTTCCATGCCTGGGGGCCCAGTCGGTCGGTCAGTCGTGACGCTCGCCGCGGAGGGCGGAAGGCGGACGCCAAGCCATGGGAGGAGCGCAAGAAAGGCGCGCTCGCCCGCAAGAAACCGACCTTCCGCAAAGGGACTCATTGCAGAATTTGGATGGAATTGCTTGGGGGAAGTATTGGCTGGGAGAGCAAGGGCCACGTCACGTCATGAAGAAACATGTTGGAATTCCAGAAGGAGCCATGAGCATACACTTGAACTGGTTACATTTTGCTCGCAGCTTGCTCGAATCTGCATTTTGGGGCCAGCTCAAAGATTCGATTTTTGCCTTGGAACCATGAGTATCTAGCTGTTTGAGGGTAGCAACCGGCAGCAAATGATTGCCCTGCAAACTCACATGGACACCCAAAACTACATTCCGTTAAAAGTGCCGATTTGATTATTGGGTTCCATGTGCATAGGAGCGACAAGGTTCCTTTCAGACTGGTTGGCTCTTCAAGGCTTCGATCATGGCTTCGGGGTGTTCATTGCAGGCCTTGGAGCGACTTCCTTCGGATTTATATACTCATGTTTGGTCTTGCAAACTGAGATCACCGGTTGCAAAGCAACCCGCTGCCAGGAAAAGTAGGCTGGGTCGAGGCTGTGCGCTTTGCGTTTGCCCGGATTGTGTGCCTTATGATTTCTGACTTGGCCACCATGTAACTTTGTGACTGATGTTCTTTGGTCATTCTTTGGCGCGACTGGGGCAGACCGCGCCCTTTTTGCGCTCGCAGCTTGAACTTTCGGGGTCCTACTTTGGAACAGCAGGGATGCATTTTTCTCGCTGGAACTGTGACCCCCAAAAAAATCTTTGGAAAGGCCTGGCAGTGATGGCGATTCCCAAACCCGTTGGACATTCGGATGTGTGGAATGCCGGACGCAGGCCTGGGTAGGCCTTCAACCAGACTTGAGGTCAAAGACGTGGACCAGATCTACAGATGAGTCTGTCCGTTGAAGGAAAGCCGGGCAAACCCTAGTAGGTTTGACACAGGCTCGTTATAGCTATCTTCCATGTGGATCTGAAGCAAGAAAACACGCCCTTTGATCTCTGCAAGGCGCAAGGCCATGTCCCATCAGCTTCCTGTCTGCCTTTAGCTTTGGCTTGATCCTGCCCTTCAGATTCCTGTCTGCCTTGAAAACTTCGTGCCTAGCTACAAGCATCCAAGAAATGATCTCAGGCCGCAGCTGGAGCGGCGGAACTTCTACGAGGCACGAGAATGTTTCTGGGTGCCATGTGCCGTGCGAAGGGTGAGTTTTGGTTTGTTTTGCCGTGGATCCTTCATTTGGCTATGAATTTTAATGGGGGACCCCCTGAAAAGTGGTTGGTGGACATAAATCCCCGCCTAAATGGTGTCCACCAAAGGGTCCCTAAGTACAATTCATACCCATTTGTTGTCACGAGCCTTGGCTCCAAATGTTGTGCAGTTCTGGACCCCTTTGGAGATTGCTTGTGCTCGGTATTTGAAGTATGCGTGTCGTCATTCATGGTATTGCCTGTGATCCACGGCACGCTTGGCATTGGATGTTCAGGCTGCTTGTGTTGACATTCCAGATGAAGGTTCGTGATTGATCAAATGGTGGCACTGAATCGTGGAAGCGGACAGCCGATACGTCCTCAACTGCTCTCCAATCTTTGTCGAAAGGCAGAGCCTTTGTTGGGCCTATGGTTCCGTTTGCTTTCCTTGCCTTGCCCAACACTTGAACGGTTCTTCAGACCTTTGGTCTCTCATCAACTTGATCCCAAGTTTTCCGGCACACCCAACACAAGCAGTGAACTCACAGCATGCCAAGCCAGGACAAGCCCACCAGGGTCCCTGTGGCTTCCCTTCAACCCAAAGGTACCAAGCCTGAAACGAAAGGAGCCAGAACTCTTTCTTAAAGTCAAAATGGGCTTGGTGCCATTTTTTCCATCCACTTCCAGGTTGGGAACCGCGACGGATCATCCAAAAAGCGCCGGCGCTCGCCGGGAATTCGGTTCGGCCGCCCGCGCGACGTCCGTCTCGAGCCCAGGCCTCGGCCCTGCCCGCGGCGGCGCTGGACAATGCGCTGCTGCCCTGCCGCGCGGCCCAGAGGGATCACCGGATCCCCCCCCCCCCCCCCATTGACCTGTGGCGGTCATGCGGACGATCTTCGGCATGTGCACGGCAAGCGCGGTGCAGCATGCGGTTCAAGCTGTCACCTAATGGGTCGGCTTAAGTCGTTCGTGACTCTCACCGGCCTCCTTAGAGTAAACAGTTGGATCGCCTGGCGAGCCGTTTTAAGCTCACTGAAAGGGATCACCAACGGGAGGCCCTGGAGCGGAAACGAAATCCCACATGCTCCAAGGCATAAGCCCTTCACCTCGTTGATTGGGCATCCAAAGAATTCACCGCAGGCAAAAAGGGCTCCTTTCAAGAAGCGAATGAGCCCAGCCACCGTACAAGAGACATGTGACTCCTGAGGTGCATCACACGAAAGAACCCATGCAGTGCCGTTGTGGCTTGCAACGGGATGTGGTAACTCGGCAATGCCGTTCGCATGCAAAATGAAGACAAGCTCAAGCCATGAGACTTCGCAACAGGCAGTTCCATCACTTAAGTGACTGATCTGCCAGGCCAGTAGCTTCTGAAGAAAAGGGACACACCATTTTTCCAAGGCCGGTGTGGTATCCAGCTGCTCTGTCCAAGTGTCCGGGAGAAAGCTAATCCAAGGCTCCTGATCGCTAAGGCGGGGCTCCCAAACCGATTCATCTTCTGCCGACAGTTCCGCTTCCAACCAATCAGTGTGATGCAGCGTTTGATTTGCCGCTGCAACTGCTAGATGAAGTTGCCGGAGGAGTCCAACATCGCTCAAGGTTTGCTGCTCATGATCCCGATATTGCGCCCAGAGCGTCCAAAAAGGCGATGAGCGACGTTGGCGTCCTTCAGCAGCCGCGATGTCGGCTTTCGAATACCTGTGGCGGTCAAAAATAGAAATGGCAGCCCCAAACTGGGTTGCCCTGCTAAATGGAAGGCTAACACCTGCGGTCCAAGTCCTGGTGGCTTAAGTTTGACCCACACCCATGTGGCGGGTGAACGCCTTTTTTTTTGGGGGGGGGCTCCAGCTCCAGCTCCTGGGTGAGTTTGTTGCTCACCACTGCGGAACATTCTTCAGAAGCGCCTCTTATTTGGCTTTTTTGGGTCAGAGGATTCGATCTGAGCCTCAGCTAAGCAATCCTTAGTTGGCGGTTTGGACGATTTGGGGAACTGATGGCCTGAACCGCCAGACCATAAATCCAAACCACCAATCTCAGGGAAGCTGAATCTCGGCGGTTCGGTTCCGGGCGAATCGCCCGGTTCAACTTAGGTTCCTAGATGTTTTCAGTTGGTTTAGTGGTTGGGTGTCCATTTCACCGAATGAAAGTTAGACCTTTCGCAGGGCGTCAGAAAACGGACGGCCCACTCACGAAACAGTTCAGTGATTGGGGTGTTACGGGCTGGATTTTAAGGGGAGAAGGGATGGGGGGGGTTGCCCTCAAGTGAACATTGGTGAAAGTTTGATCGCTTGGTTTGGTAAGAAATAGATGGGTTCCACTGGTTTGGGTTGGGTCGCCTATTTTCATGAATCAGCTCATTCATTGGGGTGGGGAAAGACCCCTCAGGGTGATGCGTGTTCACTGGGCGAGAGGTGTTTTAATAGTGTCCCCTTTTAGTGTGCGTCGGGCTATTAGATGCCAACAATGCGAAACGCACATGCGCGAAACGTTCAGAAGTTGTCCAATATTTTGTTTGAAGAAATGATGTGTTTGCAATCAGCCATCAAGAGGCGCAGAGGATGATCTGGAAGTTCTGGCCTGGCATAAACAAGTGGGCCCGATCATATCAAGCTACTGTGGCACCGGCGCAGAGGGCTCCTGTGGAAGCACAACAAGGCTGCGGCCGGTGAAATGGGCGCAGTGCAGACAATGTCTGCTGGACATGCAGCCACGCCCAAGAACATTCATAAATATGCTTTGTGGATTGTTGTGGGAATATGGCCTCACCTTTTTTGGGAGATCTTTGAGATCATGTTTCATGTTCAGGATCCCACTTTGTGGGCGCAAAAGCGTTTTGTGGGCGCCAGTCACAGCCGTTCGACTCAGAAAGTTCAACCGAGCTTGCTAGCTGGTATGCGCCAATGTCGGGGAAGCCTTAAAATGAAAACAAGAGATCCCAGAAATTGGCCCCCCCAACATGGTTTTTGGCTTCCCCTTTTTTCTCCACAAGAAGGGGAAACTTAAGAGTCACATCGGGCCCGCAGTTCTGAGGTCGCATCCGGGGCCTTGCGCGGCCCTCGCAGTTCCTCTCGCAGTTGGCAAGGGCCTCGTGCGTCGGGTCCTGCAAAACACGGGTCGACTTCGCATGGGTTCGGAACACAGCCCTGCGATTGATCGACTGATAGAATCACTCAGGCAACCACGGAAAGGGTCTGTGTTCAAGGGGTTCTGACCATAGCACACAAGCGTTGAATCACACGGAACAGCTCTGCAATTTTCATAACGCATCGAGCGCATCCAACGCAATCATCGAAATCGAATCTTGCCTTGTGTAGGTTGACGGTCTCGCAAACAAAAAATGAGCAACGCTGAGGCCCAGAAACGCTGCAGCATAAATTGCGACTCACGTGCCTGCTCAATTTCTCAGTGGTAAGTTGCCACAAACATGTCCACCCTTGACCACCTTTGGCAGCTCCCATGCGACAAACCCCTTCGATATGTGCAATTGACTTGTTGCGAGTTCGCTTTGGACAGCTGCGGCAACGTGCGCGTGTGCCCAAATGATTTAGGACGAGTTGCACCCGGCCCACATATTTTTTCTTATCAGAGTGTCCGAACAGGAACGGGCCTTCCACCTAACGGAACCCACCAGAAAACCCCTTGGTCAGGCTCCATGGCTACCCCAAACCCGTCGCAGGCTCCTAGCCACCGACCCTGCTGCGGTCTCTTGCAGGCGGGCGGATGGAACTCTTTTTTTTTGGGTGGGGGGGTGGGGGGCGAGGGGGATAGCAAGGCGTGTCAAATTTGCGTTGCGCAAGTTGGGACTTTTTGCTACCCCCGCGAAAGGATTTGCACTAGGTCTGTTTCTTCTTGGGTCTGGTTGGTTGGCTGGCTGGTTGGCCGGCTGGTTGGTTTGTTGGGTGGCTCGCTGGCTGGCTGACTGGCTGACTGGCTGGCTGGGGTTGGTTGGTTAGTTGGTTGGGTCTGTTGGGGTTGGTTGGTTGTTTGGTGACTTTAGGTTGGCTTTCCAGTGTAGGTAAACCAACCGCAGCACCTAGCACAAATCAGCTCCAGGCCAGCCCCAAACCCACCCAAACCCACGAGCCTAGAGTGCGTGTCAAATTATGGGGACCCCCAAAATGCCTTCGGCTTTCCTTTTGATGTTCCAATGAAAACCCAAAAGGGTACCCCACACACACACACCCATTTTTCCCTACTGTGTTTCTCTTCGTTTCGGATCTTCAGGCTCTGCCGTTGCCGGCTGCCCCGCCTCCCGCGCGGGAGCCAATCCCCTTCAGACACCGACTTTTCCCCCCCGAGGCTGTGCAGGTTAAAACCCCCACAGCCCTCTCCCCCCCAAATATACATATATATATATACATATTTGTTCATGTTGACAGCAAATGGGTTCCTAGCTTGACACTCTGTTAGATTTTAGCAACTGTCCCCAACATGCCGCGTTTGGGCAGTGGGTTGCGGATATTTGATACTTGTTGACGTTGTGTGCACATGTGCTGCTTGCAGAAGGTAGAGGACATACGGATGTTACATCTTGGTTTTTAGATGGCAAATCGAACTACCGGGTTGAAGCCTTCATGCCGACTAATTACTAACAACAAAGTTAAACAAGTACAGCCTGATATTTGATAGTGTTGAGTGCAAAAGGGCAGGGTGTGATCACGTCGCAGTCGATGTTAATAGAATCGCCACCCGACAAGCGCATGCTGGTCGCACATGGCTTGTTCGGGCGTTTGCCTTCGTTTGTGGAGTGCGCGCTTGCTTAAAGTTCAGCCGAGCCTAGAAGCCTGCATCGCCGGAAATCCTGCCATGTTTGTCCTGCGTAGCTTGGTAAGGGGCTGTAGGTAGGCTGAGTTGCGCATTCTTTGGTTGTCAGAGTAGGCCCTGATGCGTGCGTAAGAGAAGTCGCCCCTGACTCAAAAGCGCTTGAGTACCGAAGGCAGCAGCATAAGATTCTGACCGCGCCAAGTTTCAAACATCAGTTTTGTTGCTCTCCTTCTTATTCTCCACGAAAATTGTGGCTCGCTATCCTTAGCTTAGATTCTCAATGAGTCTGACACAAAGAACGCCAGGTAAGATCTTCAGATGTTGTGTGTCTTATGGGCCGCTGGGCGATTTCGCGAGGGTGTACAGGTGAATGAATTCGCAGGTGTCAACCTGGCATATTTTGTTGGGTGGTTCCTCCAAAAGTAGATGGGACGCCCCGTGTGAATCAACCAGGGGTTTACGAATCCTGGGTTCACACCATGAAAGTGTGGCCTATGTGGAGGCCTACAATTCAAGGTTTTGCCCTAGTCAGCTTCAATCGGATTGCGCGGGATGGTTTGTGAATCAAGTTCAATCAACAAAATGGGGGTTGGGGCGGTTCTTCCAGATTCCTCGCCCCGCGCTCCACACTATGATACTTAGCAAGCTGAGAGCCCAACGTTTCCCAAGCTGCCATTGCCACGTGACCATTCATCGAAATGTTGAACCAGTTCCGGTATGAAGACAATCCCTTGTTCGGTATGGTCGGTGTTGTCTCGCACATCTTGCCCAGTTGCTCAACAAATCCACATCTTGCCTTCGTTTCCGCTTCCGTTACCAGGAGAATCCAGGGTTTGGTCTGGCACATGTTCAATTTTTCACAAAGACGGGTGTTGCTCAAAGCGGAGGGCGGCGTTTTGTTTTCTGTTTTTTAGCTTGCTGCTGCTCAGTAGGGACCCAGGCTCTGGTCCCCTTAGACGAAACCGCCAGTTGGATGGTTTAAGAGGGTCATTCCAATTCTCATTCCACAACTTTTGTTGAGGGCACCCTTTTTTCTGGGTGGCTTCAAACGAACATTCCCCGCGGAGACCGCACCGATCGCAAGCCGCTGGTCACTCGTCACGCGAGTCACTCGACTCGAGGTCTTGGGCCAGGCCCCGGGCGGCAACGACACCCTGGAGGCCATCTTCGAGGCGGAAATCCGCCCGCCCGCGGGCGGTCTTCCATTCTGGAGTTTTGTTGTTTTTGTTTTCTTATGTGTATATGTGTATGTGTATATATATATATATATTGTCTGTATTTTCCCGGGGTTATCTGCTGCAAACCGTCCTGCCGGAAAAAAATGGAACGAAGACAACCTCGGGCAAAAAGACAAACAAGTGTTTGCAATTGCCTTTTAAGGTTTTGAAGATGAAGGTGGAGTTTCTTGTTTCTTGGTGGCTCCCAGCCATCCCCTTAGGTTTTGAGGTTTTTGGTTGGTTTGGTGGTTGGGTGTCCATTTCACCCATTAAAAGTGAGTCACTTCTAGCAGGGGATGAGTTTGGACAGCTCCGTTTTGGTTTGCAACTTTGGCGCGGTTCGTTTTTTTTTCCCCGTTTCTTTACAGGGGGGGAACCTGAATAGCCAGAAGCTCCCTGGCTTGAAGGTGCCAACGAGGATCTATTCTTTTGGTTGATGTTGTCAAAAGGGTATCCACTCTTCTGCTTATCCTTCTGCTTTCTGGTGTTTTTTGTTTTGTTTTTTCTTTTGTCTACCTTTGTTCTGTTGCGTGGAAGTGTTGCCAAGAGCCAGTAGCGGATCACTGCTTTGAGCTGTGGAATGCTGCCAGTCAGCCATCCAGTTGATAATGATATATTTTGATTTTCATGCTTTGTGCTTCTTCCTCGCCCCCTGCCTACTTTACTGTTCTAAGAACATGCCAGGGGAATGCAATCCATCAGGAGCATCGGAAAAGGAAAGGAACCGGTGGGCGCAGGTGTTTGAAGCGCTTCACATCGGAGGTGAAGCACATCATGCATGTTGTTTAGAGCGCCATTGCGTTTTCAATATGCGTGTCACTGTTTCTTGGCTGAGACTGTGTCTTGTTCCGGGTGTTTCATTGAATGAGGTCTGCCCCTTTGCTGCCAGATTCGAACGAATCGCATGCGTTTGCGTGTGTCTTTCTTGGAGAGCGCCCTCTTGTTATATCTTTTTATGGTTTCAAGTTTCAATGGGAAACCAACATGAAACGCACGAAGCAGTTCTTGGGGGGTCCGAGTACTCTTCCGAAGAAAGGAACACCGCCGCGGCGAATTGGCCGACATATCCCTGATAGCCCTTCGAGATCTCGACGAGCTCCCAAGTATCTATTTTTGCGACCGGATTTGCCGCAAAAAGCCAAAGCACTTTCATGGCGGTATCCTCGTGTGGTCATCCTGGGTCGTTTGGCTTCGTAAAGTCAACCCCAAAACGGGTGCGACTCGAGCTCTGGGAAGAGAGAGAGAGAGAGAGAGAGACTGTCTGTGTGTGGAAGTTGGCAGTGATTCCTCAAAATACCAAGCTTTGACGCAGCATCTCAGGAGGGATCGGCTGCATAGCGCATAGTGGTTTTGGCGATTTCCAGCCCCACTCATGCACCTCTGCCACAAAGAGCCCTCATCACATCTAAAGCGACCGTTTCTTCAATGATCCTAAGACCCTGTCCTGCAGTCCTGCAGGCTGCGCAGATCAAACCGATCGCAAACATCTCCGGGGAAACCGCCGTACGGGTCCCGTTGGGTCCCGCAGGCCGGCGCCTTCGTGGACTTGACGGGCATGAAGGTCATGCCTCTGAACCCCTACACCAGCGTTGCTTGGCAAGAGCAGCGCGGGCTCACGCAAGGCTTCCGTTTTTTGCGGAACGTCCTCTTTGCTAGGAACTGCCCCCCTGTCGGTTTGAAGCACCTGGCTTCTGTCACTTGAAGAGATGTCAGCTGACAGCACCTGCGCCGCGATTCCGGCAAAAGAAGAAGAAAAAACACATTGCATGACGCTAGGTTAGGGCGCGATGCTTCCGCAAAAAGGTCTCAAGGTCGCTAAGATTTCTTAGCGGTTCCCGCCCGTCCCCTTAGTTTTTTGTTTGTGTTTTTTAGTTGGTTTAGTGGGCATTTCACCCACTAAAAGTCAAACTTGTAGCAGTGGATTAGTTTGGACAGCCCAGACTTGTTGAGGCCCTGAAGACCAAATGCCCTTTCACAGAGCGACCGATCTTTGCAAACAGCCGGAAAAGGATGATTGCTTCTTCAGGTTTCCTTTGCGTTCAGACCAAGTGCTGTTTAGTCCAGGATTTCTCGATCCTGCAAATTCTATGCGTTCTAGTTCAATTCGTAAGATTTAGACATGCACCTTTTCTGACGCATCTAACATATCATTTGTGGGAGGGTACCTGGAAGATCATTTTCCTGCAGGGACACCCCCCGGGGCTCCATGAGGGAGGGCAGCTGGGGATTGAACCCAAGCAAAATGGACGGCGTCTAAACCACCACGAGCTTCGGGAGAAGGATTCGGTGATGGGATTTGGTGGCTCCAGCTTCGATCGAAGGCTTTGGGGCTGCCATGTTTGTGGGTTTCTCCGGGTTTTGCAATCCATGCGCTGGGCTTTACAGGCGGCACAAATCCGGATTTCCCGGATTTCACCTAAGTGTGCAGGCGCTCTATGGATTTCCCCTCCCACTAACATGGAACCTGACAGGGGGGTCCCTTTGAAGGGAAAATGGTCCAAACCAGGCCCCCAAATTGCCAAACCGCAGGTTCCATGTGAAAAGGGTGGGAGGCTTCGGATTTACTTTGTGTTTCGTTCGCGGACTCAGTGGCACTAGGTGGTGCTGCGCAGCCCTGAGCAGCGGCGGCTGCTGAACCTCACGCGCACGCCGCGGGCCTCGGGACTTCGATCTTTGTTTTCTTCGTCGGACGCAGGGATTTTTTCTTCGGGAACGAATTATCCGAGAGGGGGGGGTCCCCCTTATGATTCTCAGTTGTTCAGTGGCACCAAGTCTTTTTCCCTTTTTTTGGTGGCCCCACTAAAATGAGTCTTTCCCCAACAAGGGTTCCCTTTTTTTTCTCCAGGGTCACTGAACAACTGAGTGGTGCTTCAGGTTGAAGGGTTTCGCCAAATCCACTTCGTCCTGGCCAGGATGGGCAACCCCCAGGGGGGGGGTCCTGTGGTGGCAGATTCTCCATTCTTTCCAGGGTTCTAGAAGAAGCTTCCCCATTCTTTCCAGGCATCCTTCTTTTCGGGAGACCATCGAAGACCCAACGGAAGCATGCAACGGGCTTTTTTGAGGAAACAAACGATGTGTTGAGCAGAATGGAAAAGGAATCAACCCCTCGGCTCACCTGCGTCCTGGGACTTCCACCAAATCCGTCGGTTCGGACTGGTGGTTTGGGATCTGAAGCCTTTCATGGGAAACCCCTCCATTCACCAAACCGATTCGGCTCCAAACCAAGAGGGAAGCTGAGTCCCTGGACCTTAAACGGCATGCTGCTGTAGTGGAAGAAGTAAAGTGTGCTTCCACTTCTTCTGGCCCATCAACTTAGGAAGTGAGGGACGCTATATCCATTTTTTAAAGTTTGGGTCTGTCTTGTTTTTGGGGTCTGGTTCTTTCTTTCTTTTTAATGGGTTGCCAGCAAAGTGTCCATGCATCCCCCAAAGAAAAGGTGTTTTTTTTAGTGTCCCTTTCGATTCGCACCAAAGTGCTGCCCTCAAAATGAGCACCACACCCACTTATTGCTGCTGAGGAGTTCGGAGAACGGACAACATTCTTCGGTAGTGACAACATGAAGCTTAGATAATTCGGGTCTCTCTTTTTAAAAATAATAATAAATAGAATAAACTAAATAAATATATGTTTGGTTTCCTTTTGGCTTCCCTTTCAAGCCAACCAAAAAGGGTACCCTCAAAAAAGAGACACCCAGTTGTCCAAGAGAAACCCTTTGCTGATTGGGCTGCCCCTTTTCCCGGAGAGACATATGTCCAAGAAACCAACAGACAGAGCCTTCGAAAAAGTAATACGTGCAAAGCACATTGAACAGATCCCACGATATGTTTACGATCGGGATGTGTTGAACAAGTATGTCGTTCCATTTTCTCGTGGAAAGAATGGCTGTTTTTGACCAGTGCCACTATCAAATTTGGTAATTTGGTGACTTTCCCCTGATGCGAGCTTTGAGAGTAGTTTTGACTTAGTCTGCCATATTTGCCATGGTCAAAGGGCTTCTTTGCTTTACTTGTAGGCAGTAGTGATGGTCATGAACGCTTTGGTAGGAAGTTTAGGCACCGTGACAAGGGTTCCCACCCAGGGAACGATGACGATGGCCGACGTAGGGTGGTTTGCCGACACACACAATTATGGCCTAGGTCTTGGGTCCGTTTCTTTTGGCGCACCAACGTCCATCTCACCCATCTCCAAACCACAAACATGACACCTCCCGCTTCAAGAAAACCCTACAAGTTCACAGAAACACCGCACACACCCTCAGGGAGTCTATTTGAGACCCGAGCGAGCGGCTTCTTAGCCGAGAGCCAAGCTCAGCTCTAGGCTCCCGCCACTGGCGCGGAAGCAGAGCCTGGTGCATCACCAGCCGCTGATTCTTCCGGTGCCCTTCCCACAGGCAGGTCCGACTCCTCGTTTCGCGCGTCGCCTGCGTCGCCCGTGGCGCCTGTGTCGCGGTTCGGGGTGGGTCCGATTCCGAGCGCCGAAACGGCCCATGGAAGATGTGTTTGTGCACAAAGCCCCGGGGGCCAAGAGGAAAATAATTTGTCTTTCTATGAAAGTCTGTGCACTTCCATGTTAGTCGGTGGGAGGGTAAATGTTTGGTTTGGTTTGCGGGCAACAGCTCCCTTTGATGAAATGAGTAGGTTTGCCTTTGTGCTGTTTTCTTGGTTTCCCACATGTGTCCAGTGTGATTGACGGTTCGGGTTCAAACTCGGATGTCGTTGTTTTCAATCAGCTGTCCAATTCGAAAAGGCAAGTCTGGTTTTTGGCGACTGCCCGCCAAGGACAACCTGACAGAGTAGCATTTCACCAAGCCCGTGCTTGTTTGCCCAGATGAGTTTCTGGATTCAACATTGCGTTTGTGGAAGTGAATAGTTCGCCGGGGGTTTCCATGAATCAATAGAGATTGGAAGCAAGACCTCTGAAGAGAAATTCTGAAAATATTCCCATAGCGTCACGCGCACAAGTATGCCTGCTGAATTGCATTGGAACACTTCAACAGTTGCCTGGCCTGTCCACCTTCTTGACTGCGAGTTGCCAGTGATGCCTTACATCCCAAAGGCGCCCACGCATCAAAAGATTCCCTGGAGTCCTTTTCTCAGACGAATCATTTGTTGCTGCTGCTGCTGTTGTTGCTGCTGGTGGTGGTGGTTGTTGTCGTCGTCGTCGTCGGCGTTATCGTTGTCGTTGTCGTTATCGTTGTCGTTGTCCTTATCGTTGTCGTTATCGTTGTCGACGTCGTCGTCGTGGTCGTCGTCGTCGTTGTCGTTGCCGTTGTCGTTGTCGTTGTCGGTGTTGTTTTGTTTGTTTTGGTTGTTTGTTTGTTTGTTTGTTTGTTTGTTTGTTTGCTTGTTTGTTTGTGGTTGGCGTTGGTCGTGTTTGTTGTTTGTTGTTTGTTGTTTGTTGATTGTTGTGTGTTGTTTGTTGTTTGTGGTTTGTGGTTTGTTGTTTGTTGTTTGTTGGTTGTTGTTTGTTGTTTGTTGTTTGTGGTTTGTGGTTTGTTGTTTGTGGTTTGTGGTTTGTTGTTTGTTGTTTGTTGTTTGTTGTTTGTTGTTTGTTGTTTGTTGTTTGTTGTTTGTTGTTTGTTTGTTTGTTGTTTGTTTGTTGTTTGTTTGTTGTTTGTTTGTTGTTTGTTTGTTGTTTGTTTGTTTGTTGTTTGTTTGTTTGTTTGTTTGTTTGTTTGTTTGTTGTTGTTTGTTGTTGTTGTTGTTGTTGTTGTTGTTGTTGTTGTTGTTGTTGTTGTTGTTGTTGTTGTTGTTGTTGTTGTTGTTGTTGTTGTTGTTGTTGTTGTTGTTGTTGTTGTTGTTGTTGTTGTTGTTGTTGTTGTTGTTGTTGTTGTTGTTGTTGTTGTTGTTGTTGTTGTGGTGGTGGTGGTGGTGGTGGTGGTGGTGGTGGTGGTGGTGGTGGTGGTGGTGGTGGTGGTGCTGGTGGTGGTGGTGGTGGTGGTGGTGGTGGTGGTGGTGGTGGTGGTGGTGGTGGTGGTGGTTGTGGTTGATGTTGCTGCTGTTATGGCTGTTGCTGCTGCAACTGAAGCTGTAGGTTTTGATGAAGGTGAACACAACATCGCCAACCGTGGCGATATTTCATTGTTTTGTTATTGGCAAGTGCCTAAGAACACACGCCTATGGATCCCCGCCAGGTCTTTGCGAGCTCTGTTTCTTCAGATGGAAGCCTTGCCGGAGAACCCAGGCGATTGCTCGAAGTTGTACTTTGTGCTTTGCTTTCCCACGCCCTTCGCAAGTGAAGGAACATGTCTCACATTTTGTCCTGCGCTGTTGCACTTGCACCCTGCCAACTTGCATTCCCAGCGGTATGTTCAAGAGCCCACGTGCTCCGAAAGTCCCAGCCAAGCAAACATAGGTCAAGCGACCTGGGTTTGGCGAACGGAGCAGGGTTAGGCTTGCTTGCAAGTCAGAAACTGCCTCGAAAGCGACGCCACCGCCCAAACAAACACTTTGCAATGGAGCCAGTAGACAGGAACATGACAGAACAGTTTTTGCGCTGTTTGTTTGCGGGGAGCCACATCTGACTGGAACCCGAAAAACGGGCAACCCGGGCCCCTGGAACATGGGGCCTGTGGGCATGACCGTTTAGGCCAGAGCCCTGGCTGCGTGACTTCCACTGGATTTTTCGTTCACGGAAATTTGAAAGCAAGAACATAGAACCCAAACTCCTACCTGGAAATGGGTGTGGCTCAAAATTAACCTGGAGGGGTTACGCAGGTTTTGGTCCATGTTTCCACTTACCAGGGTTGATTTGGGTATTTCAGCCCCAGCCAAATGTCAAAAAGGGAAAGTGTGAGATCTGCACAGCATCAATTGAACCGTGTTTTTCTGGTAGAAACCACGAAGAAAGCAAGTACCAGTAAACCAGAAAGGCGGCAAAGCAGCTTCACGATGTCTTTCTTCTCTCGTCCGCTTGCGGCTCAGAGTCGTGTGGTGCCACTTGCTTCGGGAGTTTCAAAGGGAGCTCGTTAACATTCACGACTCGCGGACAGCGACGTGGGGAATGGGAATCTGTTTCAAGATATGTTGATCCAATGGATGGGCGAGTTCGCAACATGTTGGAGCCGCCCGCTATTCAAGCATGATGTGCTAGTTGTCAGAATCATGTCACATAGCCATCTCATCCAGGCAATACAGTGCGCGTCAAACACAATGTGATGCATGTGTTTGCCACATACCCAGGGATTACCAACTTCAAGGTCTGGCCGCCCCAAATCCGAGTGCTTTCACTGGCCCTTTGCGAAAAGAACCACGCAATCCTTCAGGGGCAACAGTCAAAGCGCTGCAGGTTCCTCAAGATGTTTCAATGGAGCAGCATTTTACATGTTATGTTTGCCATGGCACGGTAGCAGCCAGTGACTCAACTGTAGACAGTGAGGATCCCTTACCGGAAGACTGTGGCTTGTGCAGATTCAGCCGGAAGCCGTTCCCCACCTTGCCATGAGCAAATCCTCGCGGAGGTTCGCCAGAGTTCCCTATGACGTGTTTTTAAAGACCGCAACTCTAGTTGAGTTGTACTTGTTTTAACATGAGCATGCAACACCTCTGGTTGAGTCGAACCTACTTGTCAAGCACACGCAGTTGGCAAGTCGAATGTGTTGGGACTCTGGGCAAGTTTGGGTAAGGGAATCTTGAGATGGGTAAGTCGAAATATGGGGCCTGCGAATGGATCATCCAATTTGAGCACTTTGGCGGCTTCTCGCATTTTGCTTGAATGCTCTTTTTTCTGACTCTCAGGGATTCTCTCTGGATTTTGGACAAGGAACGGAGGATTGAACCCCTCCATGGGGCGTGGATCTAAGGAGAAGGGAAGAGATCCGGGACAGGAGGTTGAGGCTGGGAGATCCGCAAAAGTCTTGGAAGCATGGACAGTTTTCTTATGATTGCTTGAGCTTTGCTTGCTTGCTTGCTTGCTTGCGTGCTTCCTTGCTTCCTTGCTTGCTTTCTTGCTCGCTCGCTTGCTTGCTTGCTGGTTTGCTGGCTTGCTGGCCTGCTTGCTTGCTTGGCTGATTGGCCAATTGATTGGTTGGTTGGTTTGTTGGCCAGCCATTGCCTAACTAGTTGGCAGACTGTGATGCTTGACAAGAGCAAACAGAAGGCTTTGGAAAGATACTAGATCGCCAGTGCCAGGTTAAGACAAACTGTGGCTGAGTCACGGCTGCAAAAGCCTCCGGTGAGCCAACCAGCAACCAAGCAGCGAATCAGCCAACCAACCAACCAGCCAGACAGACAGCCAGCCATCCAGCCAACCCACTCACCGCCAACCGATGAATGAGCCAATCAGCCAAGCAGCCGAACAACCAACCAACCAGCCAACCAACCAACAGCCAGGCAGCCAGCCAGGCAGGCGGGCAGCCAGCCACCCACACACAACCAACCAACCAACCAACCAACCCACCCACCCACCCCACCCCACCCCACCCCACCCCACCCCACCCCACCCCACCCCACCCCACCCCACCCCACCCCACCCCACCCCACCCCACCCCACCCCACCCCACCCCCACCCCACCCCACCCCACCCCACCCCACACCCACCCCCACCCAACCCACCACACCCAACCCACCCAACCCACCCCACCCCATCCAACCCAACCCAACCCAC